GTAGGGAAATACGGGGAGCATTGACTGCGGCAACCAGCAGAGTAGCAGCCTCATCTGCACCTCTGACTACAACCCCCTGTGCGGCTCCGACGGCAGAACTTATGGAAACAAGTGCCAGTTCTGCAACGCAGTTTTGTAAGTATGGAGCGCCTCGCGTAGCCATGAAACCAGAGCACAGATGCATCGGTGGCAGCTCTGGGAAGCCCCAGAGATCCCATTAGCCCCTGGTAAATCCATTCCTGTCCTGACACTCGCTCCTCTGTCACCCCCCAGGCACTGAAGATCTTAAGCCCGAATGAGTCTTCTCCTTCCCTTGCAATTAAATCCCAATCCCCATTTGCAGGCTCATAGCGCTGCTGACTGCCTCCTTGCCAGAGTGATTTAAACTGTGACCGTAGGAGGTGTCCAGAATTATGGGGTTTGTCCCAGACCTCTTTCCCATGAGAAAGCATGTAATCTGGGGAATCAGGAAAGAGGTGAAACATTAGGTGAAGTAGTTTATAACTTGGAAAGTGTGAAAGCATGGGCTTATTTGGCTAACTTTAGACTGTAAAACTGAGATCCATGTCTGTAATTTTAATGTTCTTCTTTCTTTCTCTCCAGCCGGAGCCGGGGCAGTCTCTTCCTCAGACACCGTGGTGAATGCACAAAGATGGAGCTCTACTCTTCACCCTGATTTTTCCTTTACAAATCCTGCAATCACACATGCTCTTCCCTGCTCCCTTGACCATTGCGCATTGGTCTCTGCTTTGATTGATCAATATAATAAACGCAGCCACTCTCTTTGAATGGTTTCTGTCTGTTTTGTTTGTTTTTTGTGTTGGTTTTTTTTTGGGGGCAGGGGTAATGGTCTTCAGGCTTTTAGGTACTTATCTTTCAGGCAGGAGAAGTTGTGAAATAAACCACAATAAAGAGCAAAGCGTAACACCCATCCCACACCGGCCTAAGCCCTCATCAAAGCACGTCACTCCATATCAAGCCATCAGAAGAGAAATGAAGCTGCTATAAAATACTGCTGCTTTCCCAATTTCAGTGTCTTATACAGTGTAAATGGATTTGTCTTTGTAACAGCACTGAGTCTTGGAGTCCCTTTTTAGGGGCCCTGGCATGGGAGGATGGCCCTTAGGAAATGTGAAGGAGAAAGGTGGCCTTGGTCAGCCCTGCTTGGTCACACCTGGGCAAGGGGCAGGTCTGGCTGTGCGTTGTATGAAGGAGGCTTATGGCAAAGGGAGGAGGCTATCTCATAGGGAAGAAAATTAGGAACTGCTGCTTCCTTGAAGGGTGTGTCCATCGAGACTGTTGATCAGCAGAAAATTGCAGCAAGCTAGGCAAGGCTGTAATGAGAACCCAAGGAGAAATTAGATTGGGCTCAGGCCTTCAGCCTCTTGGAGAAGAGATCTGAAAATTTGTGCTTGGGGTATTTGAGGCAGAGGTAGGACAGGGGATCCTTCAGGAAAAGGTCTTGGATTTTCTAACCCCAGGAAAGAAGAGCCAGAAGATGTGTTGGTAGATCCAAGATGCTTTCTGTCTTGGGAAGAAAAGTAGGGAGATAACATCTTTGTGGGAGCCCAAAGAGTGCACTGGAGGAGCAATGATGTGTATGAATGTTCATGGTGATGTGCCATCTTTCTGGGTGAGTCAAGGAGTTGATATGCAAACAGCAGAGGCAAAACATCCCAAGTGCCGTGGCTCACACACTCCCTTCCTCTTTCTTTCTCCACCTCCCATTCTTTTGCTATGTAGCAAGAATATCTACTGCTGAGGCTGATATTTAGGACATAATCTGTGATTTGCAAGTCTTTCCTTTGGGTCTTGTTTCCTGAAGTCGATTATCTCTTGACCAGGAATTCTGTAGGTCCTTCCTCTAGTACAGGCACAGTGCAATGTTATATTCCCCTTGTTTTCAGGGTCTTTTTTTTCCAGTTAGTACAGGCAATATAAACCACATCATCCCTTCATGCCTGCTCTTAAGTAAAGACAAACTGAAGAGTCATGAGGATCCTCACTGCTTACCTGCTTCTGTGTTTATGAAAAATAGTTAAGGAACAGTCTAAGTAGCCACTGGATGTGAACAGAGACCTGTCAGAGCTCTGCTGTAATTTCTTGTTGGCCAAGAGATTTACAGAGTGGCCATAGACTAGTGGCATTTCGACCATAGCATGAAATTGTCTTCAATAGCAAGATTCCATGGTGAGCCTCCTCTGCAGTGGTAGTTTCTGCCTGAGGAAGGCAAGTACGTGCTTAGGAGCTCAGAAGGTTTTGAAAAAGCCCAAGGAAAAGCTGCTGTATCCCAGGTGCCTTGTGAGCCTCTGAGCAAAAATTCTTCAGAAGACAGAAAGGTTTGTGTCACATTAAGACTAAAGACTGGCCCAGCACAGGAAAGTACTTGGCTTGACACCAGCAAGACTCAGCCCAAACACACCCCTTACACTGCAAAGCAAGTCCAGTTGCCCTTCTTTATTTCCCAATTTCAGAGAAGTCAGAGAGACTGAAGAATTCCCTCACCTATGGCAGCAAGTGGCAAGGGGTCATCATGATGACCACCTGTTTGGTAATTTAGTCTCTTCCTCAGCTCAGCCCAGAAGGGATTGGTCCCTGTGGTAAATTTGCTGAGGCTTTATCCAGTCACGTATGCTGCAGCAACTGAAACACTGGGGTAGATAAAGCAGTGAGGTATTAGGGCTGTGGTGGTGAGCAGTGACGTATGAAACTAGAAAAGGCAAACACGTAGTGCTGCGAGTGGCAGAACTAAGCGTGATTTTGAACAGTGCTGTGGCTGACTGACTTGATAACTAAATTATATGAGAGGCTGTGTCGTGAGCTCACCCTTAATAGACATCTGAGAATTCACCTGTCAGTCACGGTTTCTCTGCTGCGTGGTTTCTGAGGTGTCTAGCAAGCTGCAAAATCCAATGCTTCCCCAGATGGGGAATCTGTAATACTGCTCTTCTGCAGGAACTCCATCCCTTGCTGCATGAGGACATCAGTAGTACCTTTCCTCTGCTGCTAGAAAAATGTATACAAATGTATTTACTATATAAATTTTCACTCATATGACAAATCTGGTTGAAACTAGTTTCAGATTTAAAATTTACTGGAGGAGCTAATAAACAGATATATCTATACGCATTGCTCTTCTTAGCCTTGTCTCCTTAGAAAAACATACTGAAATTTTAAGCTGCTGCTTATCTGAGCAGATATTTTGCAAATGTTGCAGCTGAACATAAATCCTTGCACAGACTCAGCTGGAAATAGACCTTGAGTCTCCCAATTCTCCACCAAATTCCCTTCATTCCCACTTGCTGTGGGAGCAGAGCCCTAACATATGTTTGTGAATGCGAAAAACTGGAAAACATTGACAGCTAGAGTTTAAATAGTTCAGGGAGGAGAGTCAGCAGTCCTATCTGGGACTGTGCACACAGCTATGAGAGCATGTCATATCGGAGCGCTTCTCCACCCCAACCCAACAAATTTAGAACCATCCTCAAAAATAGCCAGGGAACAACGTATAATTGGTTTCACAGACAACACATTCTCACGCTGTGATTTATTTCGTAACGTCTAGTGAGTGTCATCACGCCGCACTCAAAGCCTCGGATCTGGCATTCAGCGAGGGCCCAGAGAATGAAAATTACCAGCTTCCCCGATGAATCACCGCTTTGAAAATTCACCCTTGTGAGAATCCTGTGACTATTTAGAAAAAATTAAAAAAAAAAAAGGATATTACAAGCCCGAGTCTATCACTCATGTAATTATCCCTTTCTAGGTTTGATGTGGACAGGGCAGCATTCCTAAAGCACCATAAACATGGCCAGGACCAATAAAGGCTTTAGAAACAAAGTGGAGAAGTTCTCACAATTAAGGTGGGGAATGAGGACAGCTACAAATGGGCGCATAAATACACAGAAAGGCAGCTCTGCGCGCACACTGTGGGCTCCGGTGCTGAGGCAGCTCCTCCGACACAGATCGCTTGGCTTGGACTAAAGAGCTACTTGCAGCATGAAGGCAACAGGTGCCTTGGTGCTTCTCAGCCTGCTGCTGCTCTCTTTCTTCTCGGGTAAGTGATCTTTTCCCTAGACTAGAAAAAAACCCGAAAAACCTCAAAACCTTTCCTGACAGAAGCAAACTTCAGAGAGCCTTGATCACTGGATGGCAGGCTTGAAGATAAAGCTGAGCAAGTAGGAAATATCCGTGGGACTTGCTTGCGCGTATGACATATTTCCACTCCTCGTGTGCCTCCGCAGTGAATAACACAGCGGAGGTGTCACTGGGAGACAGAGCGAGCAAATTCTGAGCAGCTCTTCCAGCAAATGTACCAAAGCAGAGGGTAATTATGAATTTTTGGTACAAACGTTCACTGGAGAGTTATGCTGAACCAGTTAGAGAAGAAACTCACCTCAGGGTCATCAGCTCTTGTTTTGATCCTAAGCATCTTGGTATTTGGTGTTTTCCTTGGAGATGTGGAAACGTAATTAGATGAAAGTTTCAGCTTTCGTTTATGTTGCAGAGAAAAGCTTGAAAATTAAATTCAAATGTCCTCAAGGAGTCAGAACAAAGAGGGCAAATTAAAAGGATCCAGCATTTATTTATCTGGAGATCTACATATCTCTGATGATCTGGGGAAGCTGAGTGATGATTTTTGAACATATAGGTCACGTCAGTGTTATCAATTGCTTGTGTCCAGCTGACCCAGCTCTGCAAGTTTTGTGGTGACAGCTATTGAAGAATGTGCAGAACAGGAATTATTTCTACTTGTTTTTCTGTGAATAATTTGAATAAAGAATTCACTTGAGAAAATTGCAAGCTGTGCATGGAGAAAAGAGGTGAATTACTTGTACACATTATTCATTATGAAATATTCATCTGTCTCTAATTGAGTCTTAATTGGGACTGGGTTCCGGCAGAGCATTGAAGCTTCCTTCCAGGGCCAGGCAGAATAGCAGCAAACTCTGTGATCTCCTATAAAATAAACAGACGTCAAGAGACATCATCACAAAGTCTTCTGTAACCGCATGTAATATTTATAAAAACTCTCTAATGAGCTATTTTGTAAATAATATGAGATAGCCATTAACAGCGACTTTACAATTGAGGCAGCCTAGCCTAACCTGAGGACATGATAAATACACCAGTGCCAGGGATAAAACACCAAAGGGCAATTTGGCAGAAGAAGTAGGGTGGGTTGATGGATGACGGTCGAGCTGAGGGTTGGGTGAGATTTCCAACGTGAGGGGACCTGAGTGGAGGACAAGGTCCTGCCATCTCCTGCCTCACGTTCCCTCCTGCTCAGAGCCACCTGAGCAGCACCACAGCTGGTGCTGACCCCTCTGACCTGGCAGGTACAGCCTTGCATCCGAAATTCTGCTGCCCTGCTGCTATGTGAGATGCTGGGTATTTGTCCCACAGTACTGTGACCCAGATTCTGCAAATCTGCATTCAACCCACCCCTGAGTGTCAGGCTCCCCCTCAGAGACATCGCAGGGTCGCCCTGTCCCATGGCGATGACTCAACCTACGTACCTGACTGCAGTCTTTGCAGGAA